TAGATTTTTTATTTTGGTATATGCTATCATCGCTGACAATGCAGCAGATGGGCCAAATTTATTCCCTTGATTTAAAAAATATAGCTCTTTTTGAAGTGTTTTTAGATTGTTCATTTTAGCTTTCTTCAGATAAGACGCCCTTTGTATGAAATTGCCTTGTGCGCATTCCAGATCACCCCATCAGGAATCTCAGAAGTATTGTTGTCCTCAAAGTTGTTCTTTAGTACAGTCTCTGCATGAAGTTTATTCACTGGATTCAAAACTAAATAGTCACCTTTTTACCATTGTATATGCAACATTATTGATCTTGCCCATCCATAGTTAGTATCTACCCTCACCATCTGTTATAACTCTGTCTGTCGAGCATGTCACATTTGTGTTAAAGAATAATGATACTCCCCTAGGTTTAGTTCTATATAGCGAATGGTACTGAAGTGGAAAAATCTTAGACATTAAATCTGGTATTTTATCATCTTTGAAATGTGTTTCTTGAATGTATGCTATATCCAATTTATGGGTTCTGATCTCTTTAAACAACAATCTCCTCTTATGTGGGGTGTTCAGGCTCCTCACTTTAAATTACATAAATTTTAACTCCATTTCAAAATGTCATAGAAAAGAAAAATGCTACTGACCAACCAATAGCAAATGGCATATGAATAAAGAGAGTGACTAAAGCACAGCACACAAGAGCTAAACTATAAAAATCTGAAATTAGAGCAAAAAAACATTTCAAATATTATCAGCCAATATATCATAACATAGAACCATAGTAAAATATATATGTGAAACGCATTATATAGGGAATCAATCTTATGCAAATTAATTGGTAAAGGACAAACATGGAATTTGCAAAAGCATTTGAGAAATATACAGTAATTATATTGGATGGACAAAAAGAAAAATTTAAAATAACAAAAAAGAAAAAAATGAAAACTTTTCCATAAAGGGTAAAAAAAAAAAAAACTTGGAGAAAAATTCCTACAAGGAATAAAAAGAAAATATATACAAAACATGTGGGCCATGGGAGAGAAGACAAAGGGGTCTCTTCTCCTTAAACATTTGCAGGCCCATGAGGTGGGGAAGTGGGTATAATGTCTCCAAACTGGAAACTCCGCTAACTCTAATAATATATGTCATCATTTGACACACGCAAAAAACAGAATAAAAAATTAATATATACCAAATAGAAACATATTTAAAATGTAACTTGCATACAATTATATCCCAATATAATAAAAATAAAAAATAAATGGTATTGGGATTTTTTTTGTTAAGCCAGTCAATAAAAAAAAAAAAATCTAAATATGTTCTGTTAATTTCCTAGGTTTTGTGGCAAAGGTTTCTTATCCTAAAAAAAAAGAAGGGGGAACCGAATAAAACTATTCTTGTAAATTGTAGTTTATGGATGAATGAATTCATGTATTATTTCATATGTTCCTTTCTACAAGATTTTCCCATGGATTTTTGTGTAAGAGGTTATTTTAAGTATATTTTCATTTTATTTTATTACTTTTAATCTCAATAACTAATGTAATCTCTTATCCATATTACTCACTTTTATATAAAGTCACTTTTATTGTATTTTTACATTAGGGAAGTTTTTTCCCCACCCAGCATGGCCGCTTAACCTACTCCCCCTGCAAAAGGTGTTTTCTACAACTACTTCCCCTACCAAGATGGCCACCGTGTTTCTTACATTAATTATATATAAATTACTTTTCTCATTATCAAAATAAGTTTTAATTGTGTCTGCTACATGCTGCAATACCCAGTGCCCCATCCTGTAACTTTCACCCAATAATCTCCTCTATATAAACTCCTACTAGCCGGGTTGAATGTTCTTTATGACATTTGAGAAAGCCTTTTTGGTGAAAGGCATAATGGTGATTTTATACTGTGTATTTTAGATCAATTAAAGGTTTTTGGTTACTTTACTGTGCCAATTCTCTTTTTATTGTATTTTTATGCACTTCTACCATTTTTACTTTCCTGGCTTTTTATTATTGTTCCTGCACTTAAAGAAATCCCAGGTGGGTATCATACCACCAACGCTTTATTAAAAGAGCAGTATTTTCTGCTCTATACCTGTAAGTATTATTCTAGTTACTTTTACTTAATTTTATCAAATTGAGAGCACTATTGTCACCTCTTTTTATTTCCCCTGGAGCTTCGGATGACCAGAAGGCGCTGATAGACGCATTTCCTTTACACATCCCAGCAGCGGGGATTATACCGTTGTACGCTCTTCACAGACTTGCAGATTCCACCTGTTACCTTCCTCCACTCCTATTTTACTCATCCACAATGCATAGTGCTGTTTTCTTAAGTTACAAAGGATAAGCCTGTGTTCTTTCAATGTGAGACTCGAAATAGTCAAACTGGGAGGCCTTCTGAAGGTTTAGCCTGCTTTTGCTAATCTCAGTGCATGTATGAAACATGCTTGTTAACTAACAGTTAAACCTAGTCTGCACTGTGTTCACATTACATTGTACTACTTTACAGAGTTTTGTGTCATCTGCAAACACTGATACATGACTTTCAGTGCCTATTTCAAGATCATTTATGAATATGTTAAATAGAAGTGGTCTCAGAACAGAAAGCTTTTGTCCAGCTTGAAAATGTACTATTAATGACAACCTGTGCTTTATTTTTAAGCCAATGTTCTACCCAAGAACACGAATTTTACCACATGACAGGAGGCTTCATATTTGCATATCTTTCTTTACTGAAAACTCCAGCAGCATAGAAACATAACAACCAATCAGAGAAAAGATATGGTGCCCATAAGAGGCCCTGTCTATGACATCACTTCCTCTTTCTTTGCTGCTCCAGCCTACAACAGGTCAGAGTATTATTACCTCTCTGATGTATTTATATATTTTTACTCTACCTTCACTTTGTAACTAAATATCTATCCATCTACTGCTCCTTGCTCCCTTCCCTGTCCCCCTGTCTCCCCATATCTAATGCACTTTATCTAATTTTGGTCGGGCAGCCCGCGGGCGTCACGGCTGTCCGTGCTGTGCTCGCTGCGTGGACCTGCCCTGCTGACACTCAGGGGACTGTGTGGGGACGGGTGGAGGGTGGCCGGGGCGGTTTTGCATTCTTCCGCCGTGTTTTTCTGCTTACTCGCGGCAGCGAGCGAGTAAGCCTGCTACACGCGGCTGGCGGCCATCTTGGATCTCGCGGCTCGCGAGACCCACGACGGCCGCCTTCCCTGCTCACGCGGCGGTTCGGGAATCACCCGATCACCGCTCCCTGCAGCTGCATTAACCCCTTCAGGGGTCCCCCTCTCTAGGCACTTTCGTTCTCGGTTGAAATAAAACATTTTCTTCTCTGCTGTGAATGCCACATTGATTTAACTCTCCCTTAGTGCCTTACACTGGATGATTATGTTGAGCATGCAAACAACTTAAATGTATTTGGTTCAGTCCATACAATACCACTATTACTATACAAACAATTACTGTGACATATACAGAATCAACTATCTCACTGTACCCTTCCAAGGGCATATTGCGTTACTGTACCCTACACAGGGCATATTATATTACATTATTGTACCCTACAGAGGGTCATATTATATTACTGTACCCGACGGTGCAAATTTATGTGGGTGTCCTCTGGGTATTTTTTCATGGCACACCACCTGGGGTGACCCCCCAGATATGCATGCAAGGTCACTGACAGACCATTACCTTTGATGTGGGTGTCCTCTGGGTTACCACGGCACACCACCCGGGGTGAACCCCGATCATATGCACGGAGGCCTACGCCTCAACTTTACCACTGATTACTACAGACATATATGGATGTTTAAACACTGCCTGTCAGTTTTACATTAAAGCAACAGTACCATGCCGGATACGATTTGACGGCAGGATCACTAAGGAAACTGAGGGTATTACGGTGTACCCTTCACAGGGATACATATATGTATATTTACTGTGCCTAGTGGACATATAGAACGTGGGTGTCCTCTGGGTAATTTTTCATGGCACACCACCTGGGGTGACCCCCAGATATGCATGCAATGCTTGTAAGGTGCTAATAATTATAATATGGGTGTCCTCTGGGTTACCATGGCACACCACCTGGGATGAACCCATCCGAAGAGACATGGGTCCTGCGGCTGCAGACCTTATGGAGACAGGCCCCACGCGCCTATATAATAAGCCTGTATAGTTAAAAACCGTGCATACAGCTCTGGCGTACATTTGTGGTGAACCCGGCTAGCCAGACCAACACCACTACCAGTCAATCGCGCCAGCACCGCGGCTCTCAGTAGCCAGATTAAACTAATAGAGGTGACCCCTCTACACTTGGCATGAGTATTCATACTCTCAGACAAACTAACGCAGGCAATTCAAACCGTTTTACCTGAGTGATCCCCAGTTCTACCAGGAGTCTTGCACCCCTACGTGCTGACCCTCACACACTACTCCCACTGTCTCCCATCAGGACAGGAACGAGTCATGATGGACACTCTCAACCTTCCCAAGATTTCTAGGAAACGATAAACGCCGCAGTGGAGAAGGTTCTGTTATGAGCTCTGCCCCACACCGCTTGATGGAGACCTCAGGCCCACAAGCCTTCAAGTCAAAACGGCAAGGGAAGGGCTCCAGCCCCCTGCCACTAAGGTCAAGGGCAAGACGCCCATCGAACAGACCAAATAGGTGGAGCACCGGGAATCCAAACCCCGTCCGCCACAATCTTCCGACAAAGAAGGCTATTACCCACCACGTACTTTGGACATGGTAGATGAGCGGCACGAAGACAACTCACCGTCTGAGGAAGTGGGACGGCAAGACCTACCCCACACTTCCTCGAAGTACATTAGGGAAACCTTACTCTGTGACGGCGGCTGAGGCAGAGATAGCAGTAGTGGCACTAAACCAGAGTAGCCGAAGACGGAATGTTCCTGGACGAACACTATTGGCTGCGCAACCCTCTGGGGATGGAAGTATGCGCATGCCTCCAGACCGAATACCCCAGACGACTGCTACCAGACAAAGTGGCAGTTGCGTCCGAGCTCAACAACACTGTGGTAGTCTTCATTGCACGCTCGGGATGAAACCCCGCAATGGTGGGGAGTATGGCCTGAAGTCGACACGCGATAAAGTACTTGATTTACCAGGCTTGATTGCAAGATACTCTATTTTGCGGATCTGGCACTCAACCAGGGTATACAACTCAACCCTACCACCTCCAGAGAATGGGCTCGATGCTCGATATGCCTCCTGGGCAATGCAAATGACGCACTATGCGCCGACAGACGCAAATCTGTACTGGTCCGCATCGACAACACACTATTGGACTTAGGAACGACAAGAATTCGGCCCAAAAGCACAAGGCCTACTATTCGACGTAGTGTTCATTGCAGTACTCAACAAACACGTGTATTAATTCACACACTAAATTAAACCCAGACCTCGCTAAAACAAGTCTTCCACACCCCTACGGGGAAAGGTGTTTTTGGGAGGGCTGGTCGATAACGGAACCGAGCCACCAGCCGCTTCTGGGTGACAGGGTCCAGATCGTATACACAGTCCTCATATTTCTCCCATCTACTACACAAAGGACCCCATCTCCTTCATCTACTAGTGAGTCAACCTACATAACTAACTGTTTCCAATTTTATGACCGGCAACCTGTCTCTATTTTACAGTTTTGGGAGGCGACTACCAAAGTCACCTGGGTTCTCCAGACAGTACAAGACTATGTCATATAGTTTTTATCACAGCCGCTCAGGTCGCCCCTTCACCTCCATTGCTTCAAGTTGGAGGAAATTTGTCTTCTACAGGACCTCCTAAACGGTAATGACTGGTTTACACATCTGGACCTCAAGGACGCACACTTGTCAGTACCCGTTGCCCTGGACTGCCGAAGCTTCCTCCGATTCCAATGGTGAGGACAAACATGGCAGTTTTACGACTCCGTGGTGCTTGCGAAGCTACTGAAACCAGTGAGGGCACACATCCGTAAATTTGGGCGTGCGATGCCTTGTATACCCTGAAGACTTGCTGACTCTTTACGAATTCAGGCTACGTTTGCAGACAATTTGTCGTTCACTTTCGGGACTCCATGTTTTTTTTTTTTTTGTACAAAGATCGCTTCTCCATCTGAATCGGGCCAGTTCCTCGGTTTCGGCATCGGCTTGGAGAACTATGTTCTGCGTCGATCCATGGCAAAGAGCGCCTCTATAAGGATAGCTGTCGGACACGCTCTAAGGTTGGATGCGATTCCTCTCAGGATACTCACCGGATTGTGGGATTCCTCTCCTACGCCATACAAGCGATATTCCCTGGCCCACTAAACTACAGGGCCATTCAACGACGCGATACGTACACACCGGTCACTCATACGACCACTGGATACCACTGTCAGCAGAAGGGAGGACGGAATTTCGTAGGTGATTACTTCACATACAAACTTGGATTGGCAAAACGATCTTTGACACTTCCTTCGGATACGAGGCGATGGATGACCCCTACAAACGTGACCCAGCCGTTCTCAACAATAGCAAGGGTGCTTCAATACACACGCACCCACAAGATATCGCTCCTGCTCATGACACCCCTCGGACAGGGCCAACCGTGGTTTCCCGGATTGCCTGGAGATGTCTCGCGGAGACCCTCTACTACTCCCTACCTTCTCTCTACTTCCGACGGGACCTCGAGGGGAAGCCCACTCCCTTGTCATGGAAGGACAACTTGCACTAGTTGCCTGGACGATTTCAGGGCCCCTGGTCGGTTCACGACCTATTGCATCAAAGACCTCCTATGGGACTCATAGGCTCCAGGCACCAGGAAAGGCTATATTTCTGCCTGGTCGGCCTGGAGTGATAGGTATGTGGAAAGGGATTCTGATCCCTTTACCGCACCTGTCCTACTGATACTCAACTATCTGTCACACCTGGTCTCGTTGGGTCGGTCATATCGACCCCTCAACGTCATCAGATCCGCCATATCGGCGGCACACGTTCCGGTACAGGGCAGACCAGTAGGTCAAGATACACTGGTTTCTTGACTACTACGGGGTGCCGAATTGTCGAGACCCCGGCACTCAAGTATTCACACCTCTGGCAGGTGGATGTGGTACTGAGATTCCTTAGTGTATGGCCGGACAATCCTTGTTTGTCACTGAAAAAACTTTCAGCCAAACTAGCCCTCTTATTATGCCTCGCCTCATTTAGACGGGTGGCGGACGTTAGGGCTTACGATATGGATGGTTTCTCTCTCACCCAGACAGGTTACCTTTACCATGTCGAGTCCGATCCGTCTTCAGTGTCATACCCATACTTTGTGTCAGATGCCACACTATGCGTGGTCAGAACGCTAATGGGGTACACCGATATCTCTACCCCTTCAAACTCATTCGACGGGTCACCTTCTGACTTCTCACGTGAACCCTCATGGACCGGTGTCTACCGCAACACTGGCCAGATGGGTCCGCTGGCTATTGTCTTTAGCGGGCGTCGAACCTTGTTTCGGAGCCCACTCGGTCAGGGAGCGGCGGCCTCACAAACCTTTTCGGCCGACGCTTCCCTAGCCGACATTATACGCTGCGCGGACTGAGCGCGAGAGAGTACGTTTAGAACATTCTATTTCGACAAACATCTCATGCTTCCTTCACATTGGTCAATTCAAAGCTTTAAAAATGCAAATATGAAGCCTCCTGTCATGTGGTAAAATTGAAGATTATATTAGCTTTAGTGTACTAATAATCTTAATTTTAGTAATGACAGGAGGCGAATATTTCCCACCCTATAGGATCCCTCCCATGTTTCTCGTGTTGAACAGAATATGTCCTTTATGTTCAGGAAGGTAAGTACGTATGGTTTGTATGTTTGCTACTTAGACCTGTATTTTGTGGATCTTGGATAGGTTGAATATTAGTCATGAACCTTGCATTATGTTGTGTTTATAGATTCTTAAATATCATTGCTTTAGAATAAATATACATTGATATGTTTCACATTCTAATGTTTGTTGGTATATCAGATGCTTAATGCTTATTGTATGCGGAAAAGTTCTCACGCCAGAGACCTTTCACCTTTTTCTTTTTCTTGCAGCGTGAACGTCTTCTCATCGAGACAAAGATTCACCTTCCATACCTCTGCATCGCGGAACTACTGGAGTTGGATATTCTAATATGTTGTTGAACTATTGACGTAATATGATTACGTTGTTATTTATTGTTTCGCTTCAAAGAAAGAGGAAGTGATGTCATAGACAGGGCCTCTTATGGGCACCATATCTTTTCTCTGATTGGTTGTTATGTTTCTATGCTGCTGGAGTTTTCAGTAAAGAAAGATATGCAAATATTCGCCTCGTGTCATTACTAAAATTAAGATTATTAGTACACTAAAGCTAATATAATCTTCAATTATTGTATGGAACTATATCAAACACCTTTGCAAAATCAAAGTAGATCACCTCCACTGCAACATCCTGATCTATAGTTTTACTTACTTCTTCGTAGAACGCAATTAAGTTGCTTTGAAATTACCTGTTTCATAAAACTATGCTGATTTTTGCTAATAATATTCCTCCCAATAAAATCCTGAAATGTATCCCTTAATAATGCTTCAAATACTTTCCCAGCCACAGAAGTGGCTCTGGGTTTGTAATGCTTCACTTGAGAGGGAGAACTCCCACACTGAGTAGAATCCCAATGGTCTGTTCACTGAAAACTGATGGTTCTGTGCAATATAGGACAATATAGGACACCCTTCATATATATTTTATTGTTCAGACAGTCTTGTCAGGTTACCTGTAAATTCAACCTCTGAGGAGGTCAGTCTCTCTTCCAAAAGGGCTCCTATGCCCAAGCATTTCGGCATTTTTCGGCCGTTTTCGCACCGGCCGCGCTAGCTCCTCCCCCTTTTATGACGCGACGGCTAATCGTCGATGTCATGACGTCATCATCACGTGAACCGCCGGGAACCGCAATTCAGGACCTTTTGGGGGCGTGGTCATAATTAAGGTGACAGGGTATTTAAGGGAAGCTTTTACTACTGCTCATTGCCCTGTCGTGGTTCTAGCTTGCTAGTCACTCAGCGCGTTCTCTCTCTTTGTGTTTTTCGGTTTTGACCTTGCTTGTACCTTTGTCCTGCCGCTCTCTCCTCTCCTTTGACCCGGCTTGTTCCTCGCTTACCTGTCCTCCGGCTCCCTCGACCTCGGCTTACCTTTTGACCATTCTTGTCTTGTCTATACGTTAGTCCGGCCATTCTAAGGTCCGGTATACGTACCTCCTCCTGTCCGCACTCTGCGTATTGGATCCCTGTCACGATTCTGACAAGTCTGCAATATTTTATGGTTTTTTTGTGTCAAATAATGGTGACTTCCCTTTTCTTCAGGTATCAACAAGTCAGTAACCAGAAAAGTAGATATCCAAATGAAAATGGTACAAACGTACAATTTATTAATTGAAAACTATTAAAAGCAGTAAAGACGTGGTATCCAAAACATGTTTCGCCTGGAGGCTTTATCAATTGGAATACATGATACATGATTTCCTGGCAGTTGTCCCAGTTGATTAAGCCTCTGTATGAATTGCATTTTGGATACCACTTCTTTAATCGTTTTAATTTAATAAATCACATGTTTTGTACCAGCCAGGACCTGCTTTCTGGCCGCGTTGTTTCCTGGTACTCTGCATTTGAGCTGCAAGTGCCTTTGTAATGGATGTTTATGGAGGAAGCACAGGCCGAAGGGTCTATACCTGCCTAAAAGGAGGAGTGCAGGAAGAGGGTTGATACTTGTAAGTGGATTCGATTCATGCTTGGAAGATGGTGCGGCCCCTGGAAAAGGATATGAATGACATATTGGTATAGGAGCCGTCTTCCCTGTTTTTGTTACACCATGGTTAAAATTTATGTTGTCTATAATGTCAAGTTATAGTTACATAGCTGAAAAGAGACTTGCGTCCATTAAGTTCAGCCTTCCTCACGTATGTTTTTGCTGTTGATCCAGAAGATCTGAAGCGCTTCCAATTTTGCAACAAACTAGGAAATATTCCTTCTTGACCCCAAAATAGCAGTCAGATGTCTCCTTGGATCAAGCAGCTATTACCCCGCTAATTAGAAATGATATCCCTGTATGTTATGTTTTTGCAAGTATTTATCCAATTGCAGTTTAAACATCTGTATGGACTCTGACAAAACCACCTCTTTAGGCAGAGAATTCCATATCCTTATTGCTCTTACTGTAAAAAAAAACCTTTTCTTTGCCTTAGATGAAATCTCCTTTCTTCCAGCCTAAATGTGTGACCTCATGTCCTATGTATAGCCCTGTTTATGAATAGATTTCCAGATAAAGGTTTGTACTGGCCCCTCAGGTGCCATTTTTCCGAACTAAACAGATTTACATTTTTTAACTATTCTTCGTAACTAAAATGCTCCATTCCTTTTATCAATTTTGTAGCTCGTCTCTGCACTTTTTCTAGTGCCATGATATCTTTCTTTAGAACAGGTTCCCAACATTGCACAGCATATTCAAGGTGTGGTCTTACCAGCAATTTATAGAGGCAAAAGAGAGTGTAGAGAGTGTGTCTTTAGAGAATGTAGCAGGTGTTTGCTGACAAGGAATATAGTGTGTGCATAGGGGATCCAGAGTTTGTATGTCAGGAATGTAGTGTGTGTAGGTGGTGCACTGTGTGTATGTTTGGGGGGTGGGGGGGGTGGGATCTAGTGTGTAAAGGACCCAGAGTGTGTATAGGAGATTGTGTGTGTGTGTGTGAGTGTATACAGGATTTAGAGTGTATATAGGGATCTACTGTGTGTATGTGTGTGTGTGTAGATTAGATGATCCAGACTTGGGTAAGGGATCTAGCGTGTATCTGGAGCGTAATGTGTGTAGTGGTGCAGTGTGAGGGGTGCTGTGGTATATAGATATATATATATATATATATATATATATATTTATATATATATATACGATATACATCCAAACATATATATAAATAAATATATGTTTGGATGTATTGTATGTGTGAGGGTCACAGTGTGTTGGGTGTGCTGTGTATATGTGTGAAGGGTGCAGCATTTGGGTGTGAGGGTGCTATGTGTGCAAGGGTGCTGTGTGTTTGAGCGTGCTGTGTGTGCGTGAGGGTGCTGAGTGGGTAAGTGTGCTTTGTGTGTAAGTGTGCTGTTAGTGTGAGGATGCTGTGTGTTTGTCTGAGGGTGCTCTGTGTGTAAGTGTGCTGTGTGTGTCTGAGGGTGCTCTGTATGTGTCTAATGGTGCTGTGTGTGTCTAATGGTGCTGTGTGAGTGAGTGCGCTGTGTGGGTGTCTGAGAGTGCTGTGTGTGTCTGAGTGTGCTGTGTGGGTGAATGTGCTGTGTGTGTGTGTCTAATGGTGCTGTGTGTTGGTTTGATTGAGGGTGCTGTGTGTTTGTCTGAGGGTGCTGTGTGTGTGTGTGTGTGTGTGTGTGTGTGAGTGTACTGTTAGTGTGTGTGTGCTGTGTGTGGGAATATGTCTGGAGGGATTGTGTGTGGGGGGGGGGCAAGATGCAAATATATGAAATGTTTTTTTTTTTCAATTCCCCCCTCCCTTCTTACTTTTATCCTGGGAGGGGGAAGCCGTGCTGCCATGGAGGAGTCTGCATTCCTAGTGGTGAGTGAACTCTACCCTGCAGTTCCTGGGGTAGAGCTCACTCTCGCGAGATCTGAGTGTTGCCGCGGTAACCGCGGAAATGCTCTGACCGCGCGAGAGGAACCCTGCGGAGCTGCAGAGTAGCGCTCCACCAGGTCCTCCTCTCCCTCCCCAGCCAGTGGCAGTGTTACAGTGTCTGTGGGCCGGTGAGGGAGATCTTTGACCTCCCCACTGGCGCATGAAGGCACACAGCAGGGCCTGCCGGGGAGATCCTGTGATCTCCCTGCCGGCCTCGGCCCACTGCCATTGCGGCCCACCGGGCATTTGCCCGGATTGCCTGATGGCCAGTCCGGGCCTGCATATCAGCACAAAAAGAAACATTAGTTCCATTAGATCCCAAAAGGCTAAATAAGGAACCAGATTTGAGGATTGTAGGATATATTGAATTAATATATATAAATATATATACAGGTTTATTATTTCGTTTTATAAGAATATTTTTCACTGTGTATAATTATTTACTAATTAATAGTATAGGGATTTGTTGGAGTTATAATCCATTCTTATGGAGTTCACTGATTTTTATTGGTAGTGTGGGAAATACAAGTTTATTATTTATTTTTGTGAATAGTCATTTTATTTATATATTTGTTAGCACATCACAAGTATTTGTATGGGTTAAATTAAGTGTTGGATTAGGGGTTGGATTAAGGGTTGATTAGAGACAATATTATGGGTAAAATTTGAGTAAGTATTAGGGCAAAAGGTATATATATCTAAGGTATAATTTTAATCAAGTTCAGTAGCAGAATACAAACACTGGGTGTTAGCAGCAGTGGGACACGTTTGGTATGTCCATTTCCCCAAAATACAACATGTGTCGGGAAAAAATATACAAAAAATTAACTAATTTGACTTTGGGTCAAAGTCGAGTTTGTGAATAAATGGTTAAATGTAGTGTCAAGACATTCTTGTTTTGCCTGGGAGATGTACTTTCTATTAACCCCTTCCCGCCGTTACGGCGTTCTATGCCGTCGCAGCTTTA